TTTCCATAAAAGGTTCAAAGGAAGACAGTATGATTTTTCTTTACACAAAATCTTTCTCCCAGAAAATATAATTTGAAGGAGATTCTCTAGTCCCTCATTCTGACACCATAATTTAGGAAGCAGTGGTGTCATTTTAATATTTATCTTTATTAATTTACTTTCTGTTATAATAAATTGAAGAAACAGAACTATTTTATGTTACTTTGCTACTTCTCTTTTAGTACTGCATATCATTTAGGATGACACTGCTCTGAAACAAGACAACTGTAGTTTCGTTGCCTTGGCAAAATAAAGTATTAACCTTAGCCTTCTTTGGCAGTCGTAAGTCACAGCATTTATATATTGTCATAAAACAGTTTTTGTTTTTATTAATTTGTTTCTGTCCTATTTGTTAAGTCATGTTTCGTATCTGGGCCATTTCCACTGACATTGGATCAGCCTTGATGGAGCTGTTATAATGTATATGAATACATGTGACAGAACTGACACAATATCAATCTCACCATTAAGATGTCAATTCTGTAATAGCATTTGGAAGTGAATCAGACACTTTCACTGACATTGTAACCACAAAGTGTGAAAGACACTTCTATTCTTTCAGATGTGCATGAGACACTTTCATTTACAACCGGGACCACTAAAACTGTTGTTCTGCAAGTACTTCAGGGAAACTGAGAAAAGCTGGTGTCAGTACAAACACCACTTCCATCAGGTTTCAATAGTCTCTATTGCCCATCAAAATTGCTCATCATCGCTAAACTGTCAGTGGTAAGAGGTGAATAGGAGACTTTCACTGAGAGTCTACTGATTCTTTGATTTTGTATTTCACCTCACTGTCTGTAAAAATTTCACCTCACTGTCTGTAAAAATGTAAAAATGTAAAAAATATAGAGTTCAGGGGAAAACCTGATTTTCTTCAAATGCTACTACTAATAATAGTAATAAATGTTGGTAGGAATTCTGCGCATCCTCCACTCTGAGACCAGAATTTGAGAAGTCTCCATTTTTGTAGTAGTCTTCCCTGATCTTGTAATAGGCTACATTCTAGTAGGTGCAGCTACACATACAATTAATGTGAAGCAATAAAGTCTGGAGCTTCCTTATTGCTCCAGAGTTTATTGCTCCCAAGAGCACCATTTGAACGTGTGCCCAGGACTGCAGCCCGTTGAGCTAGATCAGAGTAGCCCTGGCTGGCAAGAGGTCCAGGTGGTCAGCCTGCCAACCTGGGGCTTCTCCCTCCAGCTCAATGTGCTGTGGAGGGGATGGTTGGGGCATAAGCGTGCTTCAGCATGGGGCTAGCTGGCAGGCAGTTTCCGCACTGTAGGACCCTCATGTGCTAGACAGCTGGAGCAGCATCAACACGTGCTACTGCAAACTAAAAAACTCTCCAGCAGGATAGTACTTAGGTTTACAATTATTACCCTGATGGAGAGTTAATTAGTTTACTCCAGCTTAATATGGGTGCATGTGTAAATACCAAAATGTTTACAGTGAAGCTTATTAGGCAACTCCACAGTAAACATCTCGTGTAGACAGGCCCACTTAGTCTTTCAGTTCATCTTGCTGTGTAAATATTCTTTTCCATCTCAAGCCCTAATTTGCCTTGTAGCTTTGTGGTCTACCCATCGCTACAAAATTGGACTCAGTGCCAGCCTATGGACTGTGTTTTTTGTTTTGTACCTGTATTGCACCTAATACAATGAGGTTTTGGTCCATGACTGAGCTTTGTAGATGCTAGAGTATTACAAATAATAAATAAGAATAAACACTGATTCTACTTCAACTAGGGGCCAGAAGTTTGGCTTGAATTATAATCTAAGAGGTGTCCAGATCCTGTAACAGAGTGTTAGTATTCAGGGTTCAGAATGGAATGCAAAAAAGATTTTAGGTACAAGGGGAGAAAGTAAACAGAAGTGAACAAAGGGTGTCTTTATACGTATACGACGATCAGGGAATTGCTTCTCCCATGGCTCCCCCCACCAGGGGGCACTTTAATTAGAGCAGCTCTCAGAAGCCGCTTTCATTAAAATGCCTGCAGTGTTTCATGCATTCAGCATCCCACACTTCAAAATGGCAGTGGGGGCACTTTAACTAAAGCTCATTCGTACGCTAATAGCATGCTACAGCAGACTCGCCGCTGGACGATGCTGACGTGCTTAAATCGAGTCTGCTCTGATGCGTGCTAATTAGCATGTGTCAGAGCAGAGGTCTGTCATGTGTACAGGTACCTAAAGTGGTAAGTCATTACCTATACATGTATCAGATAGATAATAGTGATATTAACATTTCCATTTACTTCAGGTAAAGAGAGGATTTTACTGGGATTCATGTGTTTATATATATATATATATATATATATATATATATATATACACACACACACATAGATATATATAAAAAATGTACATACATATGTATGTATGTATTACAATAATACTCTTGGCTTAACTATACACACGTAATAATTACTTTTTTTCCACCCCCAATATATAAGGCTATGAAGAGGTCAATATCCTCAAAGTGGTTGAGTTTGGGGTTTTTTTTCTGTAAAAGCAATTATTTTAGGAAATTGTAGGAAATAAAACAACAATTGTAGGAAATAAAAGAGAAACATTCAGAACACCCAAATCCTGAGCATGAAATCTTTCAAATTGTAAACCAGGAGAAAGTGAATGCATTATTAGTAGGGCTTCGGTAGCTGATTTGACTCAGAGGAGATTCGGCCCGATTCCAGGACTGAATCTCCAAATCCAAATCAAATCGGGAGATCGATTAAAAGCTCTGAATCGATTCGAAGCATTTCATTGTTTAGGAAATGCTTTGGAAAAGATTTGGCTGCTTTGCAGATTACCCACAGCTGCCTCCAGTGGGTAAGTCTGTTGGGCTTGGAGAAGTGGGGAGCAAAGTGGCATTGGGGAGGGAGGGATTGGGGCTGGGACAAGCTGCCAAGCTAGGGTGGAGGGGGGGGTTACCCAGGGGGTTACCCAGGAAGGGG